TGAAACGCTGTCTTTTTAACTCGTTTTTTCCAGGAGAAAACGAATATGCTAGAGATGCATTGAAACGAAAGATTGAATTTATGTGGTTTGAGTAAGAGGGTGAGTGTGGCGGATAGAGATCAGCGAGGTAAAACTTTTTAGCGCTGAAACCCATTTTGAAATCCGAAAATACTTTTTATTTCTTCCCGATCCCAACCCCAAATAGCCCCGATTTTTTCTCACAAATAACTGCCATCTAATATACGCGGCATTATGTTGACGGAAAAATATAGACAAGCTTCGATTGCTAGTCAGTCTGCCGAAGTAGATTGTGAAAAAAAACAAGGTATCCTTTCCTGCTCTCTCTCTCTAGTTCCTTTCTCTTCGTTTGTGTGTAAAAACGAAAAGATGATTTTAAAGTTGTTAAAACGAAAACAACTCGAGGATGCTTATAAGAAAAACGAGATGATTCTGTTAAACACGTGGATGCGAGTGGTAGGTGAGGATGTAAGGTGGAGGGAGGGGGTGAAGTATGGATACGAGCGTCGATATGATGTGTGTTGGGTTTTCTGTACAAGCGCACGTACATTCAATCGACTGACACCACTCACAATCGCATCCATCTAGATCCTCTTTTTTGGTGAAGCGCTGAAATCTGATAATCAGATACCTTTGTCTTTCGTTTTCGTTTGTTTACTCTTTAATTAACTGTGAAACTGAATAAATTTATGTTAGAGAAAAAAAACATTTTTCAAAGAGTATCTTAAGATATTCGGGGCCCCCGACCCCGACCTTGAAAATTGTTTTCAGCTAGAGCCCCGCCTCAACACCGGCGGGGTTGGGGATTCCGGGGTTAGGGTGTCCCCGCTGATCTGTAGTCACGGGTATGGGTATAGTTAAAGGCAACAGTAAAACCCACAGCCACATATCTACATCCACATCCACACCCGCAGCGGCATCCACAACCACAACCACATTCACACCCACAACCACATCCACACCCACAACCACATTCACACCCACAACCACATTCACACCCACAACCGCATCCACAACTACATCCACATTCACACCCACAACTACATCCACACCCACAACCGCATTCACAACCACATCCACAACCACAACCACATTCACAATTACAACCACATCCACAACCACAACCACATCCACACCCACACCCACAACCACATTCACACCCACAACCACATTCACATCCACAACCGCATCCACAACTACATCCACACCCACAACCACAACCACATCCACAACCACATTCACACCCACAACCGCATCCACAACTACA